CGACAAGAGGTGGTTCGGTGGGGGGTGTCCGGACTCTCGGGGTAACTGCTCACTTGGATTCATCCCTCAGAGGGGCCTCCAAGGCAGACGGGGCACCCTAAGCCGTTTCCACCAGCGATTACTTCTGAGAGTCCTGTTTCCCAACTACTGTTGTTTTATTTACTTCCTGACAGGCTAGGCCCTGCTCTACCCCCATGGACACCCGAGATGCCTCTCCCCAACCCTTGCAATGTTAAGTTTTACAATAGCGGTTATTAGTTCAATGATCCAGGGTCTCCGTGGTTACAGTGATTTTTGCTGTGGTCAGTAGTGGCCACGTTTCCCCTCTGCTTGGTTTTCCATGTATCGATCACTAACTAATTCATCCCCGAACTCTCCGCCAGATGTTCCAATCTCCTTTTCATATGTTCAACTGTATCAACTAACTACTCAGACAGGAAACTGGGAGAAAATGGTGTGCATTTGTCTAAGAAAAGGGTCAAGTTTTCAGAGGGCACACGGCCCAATATAAGTTAAGAACCACAGTCCTAGTCCAGCTGGTGTGGCTCAGTGATTGAGCGTCCACCCCTGAACCAAGAGGTAACTGGTCTGATTCCCAGTCAGGGCACAGGCCCGGGTTGCAGGCTCAGTCCCCAGTAGGGGGCGTGCAGGAGGCAGCTGAATGATGTTTCTCATCAATGTTTCTAACTCTCTGTCCCTCTCCCTTCCTCTCTCTCTAAAAGCAATAAAAAACGTATTTTAGAAAAGAAAAAGAACCATAGCCCTGGAGCATTGCTGCCTCATTACCAGCACCACCCGAGGTGGGCTCTCCCATGTCACTGTGGTGGAGCTGTGTGAAGCCAGGACAACCTAACAAATGTAAGAAAGCCACTGAGTAAAGATTGGGGGCTGGGGGAATCTGTCCCAAAGTCCCAGAAACTGAGCAACAAAGTGGTTAAAAAAAAGAAAAATCCCTGCTTTTATTCACTTGACACTACCCTCAAATGATAATTACATAACCAGTATTAACATTTCTTTTCTTAGACCCTAATTCAAGTTTTTCCCTGCCCGGTAACATTATGGGTCATCTCTTCCTTTCTTCTATCTACGTGCAAACAGATAAAGGTGATTTGGGGCTGTCAATGTGTTAGAGTTAGTTACAGAATTTCAGGCTGGAACAGTTCCCAGCGCAAATCTAATCTAACTGACCGTTCGTTACATGTGAAGGAAGGAAGCTACCTGCGAGTCACACGGCTGAGTGGCACGTGCCCTGCCTGTAGGAGCCCTGGCATTCACGTGGATGTGCTAACAGAGGCCCCGGACCCAGGCAGAGAATGGGCACCCCCGGAAGGCACAGCGGCCGCGTTACCTCAGCGCCTCCTCCGAACACGCCTGGTCTTCCTCCTCTCGGGGCCGGGGGGTCGCACTTTCCTCAATGGAGGAAGCATTACCTCCCAGGGAGTCAAGCAGCGGGTCCTCCAAGCTGGTGGGGAGCCCCGAGACAGCACTTTCAACAGGAACCCTCTGCCTCCTTTTCTTGGCCCTTTTCTTCAATCTGCAGGGCTCCCTCCTGCCTTCTGCAGTCCCCGGGCCATGGGCCACCTGTGTCCCCTCAGAGTTCACGGCCTCAGGGCTCTCACATCCCTGGTGATGTGAAATCTTCCTCTTTCTTTTCTCAGGCTTCTTTTCATGAGCAGCGCCTGGCAGCTGTGTGACGGGGCCTCCCAGGCCCGCAGAAAGCGGGGACTCCGGCTGGGGCAGGACGCTGGCGCCCGAGCCTGGCCCCCCCAGCGCAGCATCGCAGGACGCAGCTTCCCGCCGACGCTTCTTTTTCTTTTTCTCCCGAACTTTACTGCGCGGCTCTTCCCATCGCTTAGTAACTGCAGGCGACTCGTCTGCTTCGGGCTCTCTGGGCGACTCCTGTTCCCGGCTCATGTCAATATAAACGATGTCAACATCCCTTCTAAAATTCTTGGGCATGTTCTCGATGTTTTCTTTATCCACCATGACATACACACCTGTTCCGTCCTGTATCCCCAAAGCACTCTTCTTTTTCCTCTTTTTGGCCGGAGAAGGGGCCTCTGCAGCCTCCTCACAGAGTTCCGATGTTTTCAAAGGAGAAGAGGCGAGATGCTGGTGGTCCTTCCTCTTTTTTCCCTTCTTCGTTTTGTGAGAGTGTTCGCTTGCCAGGGGGGCGTCTCTGAAACTTGCATGGGCATGCATCCGATGTCTTTCCTTATCTACAGAATACTTTTTCTTTTTCTTGTCAAAAACCGGAGTGTGGATGTCCAATCCGCTCAATTCGCCTTCCATTTTACTCCTAGAGGGAAACTTGACAACAGTGGCTTATTTGCAAAGCATCTTAAACATTAGTCTCAAGAGAAAAAAACCATCACAGAAAATGAAATTGTACGGCAAATGACAAGCTGGAATCATGACCATCCATTGCATGCTATTCTACATGCTCAGGAGGCTCACGGCCCCCCTCTGCCTGCTCCCACTGCCGCACGGCCAGGCCCTGCTCCCCACAGCGTCACCTTTTACATCTCCTTCCAACTCTGTGCTCCAGCCACACATGCCCTTTCCTGCCACCATCTCCCCCATCTCCCCTTGGCTCAAGGTCTGATAGCACCCGGTTCCCTGCGTCTGGAACACTCTCCGCAGCCTCCCCGGCCCCTGCCTCCTTCCATCCCAGAGCTCGCCTGGAATATCACTGCTCAGTTAAGCTTTCCCTGGTCAAAAGGATACACAGTATGATATCACATATATTGAGTCTAAAATCCACAAACGGTTTTATGTATCTTTTCTCAATGCATACATATGCAGTAAAACTGTGAACACAGGTATGGGGGTTGCAATTGGCAAATTCAGGGATCCGGGACAAGTACAGAGCCAGTTCTCTTATGGCTGTAATCTTTTATTTCTTAACTAGAGGCTCGGTGCATGAAATTTGTGCACTTGAGGGGGGGGTGCCTCAACCTGGCCTGTGTCCTCTTGCAGTCCTAGAGCCCTCGGGGGATGTCCGACTGCCGGCTTAGGCCCACTCCCTGGGGAGCGGGCCTAAGCCTGCAGTTGGACATCCTTAGCGCTGCTGCTGCTGCTGCTGTTGCTGCGGAGGCAGGAGAGGTTCCCGCTACCGCCACTGTGCTCGCCAGCGCACACTGAGCACAAGGGGGCAGCTCCTGCGTTGAGCGTCTGCCCTCTGGTGGTCAGTGCGCGTCATAGCGACCAGTAGCTCTGCTGTTTGGTCGATTTGCGTATTAGCCTTTTATTATAGAGGAGGATTGGAGTTGGAAGGAGAGGTAAAAGGATGCATCCATCCTCTCACCCTGAAGTCCATCTCTCTCCTCCCCTCACAGCAGCATCTCTTGAGAGAAACTGCTCTCTCCGTTTCCTCACCTTCCATCCACTTCTCAGCGCATATCTTTGTCGCTTCCACCCTCCTACTCCTGAGCTTGCTCCGGTAAGAATGCCAGGACCCTTAGCCCTACACTCCACAGGCACCTTCCTGGCCCATCTTCCAGGCCTCTTCCTAACAATGCACAGAGCAGATGATGCCATTAAACATTCTTCTACTTTCCACCAGTTTCTTTCTTTCGTGTAAATACCCAAGTTTCTCCTTCTGGTTGCTTGAATTCAACACAACCTTTTAAATAACAGTCCCTTCCAGCTAGAACCACGTTAAGGTTTCCCGTTATTCTTAAGATCAAGTCCCCAAACTTTCCAGACCTGCCTCGTCCTTCAGGATCTAGGCCGGCCCGCCCACCTCTCCAGCTCTCTCCCTCCTTTCCTTCCCGTTCATCCGCGGGCTTTGCAAAGGCGGCTCCTTCTCCAGGAGTGCGCTTCCTCCGCCTTCCCTGCTGAGCTAAGACGGGTCTAAAGTCTGCAAGTCACTCAGGAGGGCCTCTCAGCGCTTCACCCGGACCCGCAATGCTTCCCAACAACCCAGCGGCTTCCCCAGCGCCCTCGGCTCAGCTGGGGCCCCTGCCTTGGCGCCAGCGCTCGATGCCTCCGGAACGAACGGACTCGCGCTCATCTCCACATCCGCGAGCTCCCGGCCCCGACTCCCCGCCGCCATGCAGGGCTCTGGGCGGGGCGTGCCGGGCAGGAAGGGGAGCTGCCCCGAGGGCACTCGGCCCCCTTTGGCGCACAGACCCCAGGGTTCCCGCGCGAAGGGGCCCGGAGCGGCCGCGGAGAAACGGGCGCCACGCGCACCCCGGGGGCCCGGCCGCGGGCGCCTCCCCGACCAACGACCACCGCCGCTCGGTGTCTACACGCACGTCTAAAATCCCGGAACAAAATCCGCTTCCTACCTGCAGTCCGAGAGCGCCGCCGCGTTTCTTCCGACCCGGAAGTGCTGCTGCTGTGGAGCGGAAGTGGAGCGCGTCACTTCCGGTCCGCTAGGCATCCCGCTGCCACGCTGACTTGCTGGCAGCTGGACTGGCACTGGGACGGAGGCGTGGTTTCTGCCCGTTTTGTTCCTTGGGGGCGAGGGGGGGAGGGGCAGGCTAGAGCGGGATCCTGAAACGAAGAAAGTGGGACCGCATTCTCCCTGGGCTGGCTAGCTCACGCCTGCATCCCATTTAGTAATGATTTCTGCGTGAAGATGGTGAGGGTCCTAACCTGAGGGAGACAGATCAACACATCAACCAAGACAGCTTCACTGTGCCCTGGAAGGAACATGAAGCAGTGACGCGATGGAGCGTCCCGGGGACACGGCGTGCTCCTGAGATGGGAGGGAAGGCTCTGAATGAAAAGGGCGAGCACAGCTCTGGATGGGAGATGGCCCCAGGCTGGAGGCAAACACAAAGGCCCCGAACCCCGTTGCGGGAGGAGCTGAGTGAAGGCCCGGCAGCTGGGCCACAGTGAATGGAGGGGAGAGTGGTATGAGGTCGGCCGTAGGCAGGGGCGGGCTGGTGCAGGGTCTGCTGCACGTCAAGCTTAGATGAGGCAGAAAGAGCCTTCCAGACCTATTCCAGTCCTCCCATTTCAACTGAGTCCCCAAGAAACTTAGCTGCGATGAAAAGTAACGCTTTACCCAGACCAGCAAGTTCGCCAGTACATACACACCACCCAAGTTTGTAGCCTTATTGCATAGTGAACATAACCACGTGGGAACCTGTTTTCTCGTTCAATCCTGTGTCATCTTCGTTAGGTATCACTGGCCTCACCTTGCGGGTGAGAAACTAGGGCTTTAATGTAACCTGTCCAAGAGGACTTCCGTGGTTCCTCTCCACACTCCACTCTCCTGCCTCTCATGGCACCACCTGACCTCCTCGGTGTGAGCTGCCAAGCGGCTTTGATGGGAAAATGCACAGCCTGCGTGTCTGTGAAAGTCGGGAAGTGAAGCAGTCTGGAGAAAGCCCAGCACACATCAGACCCACCCACATGCCGCCACCCCAGGGCTGCTTCCGGCCCCGGATGAGCAGTGGAAGCCTGTCTGGTCCCCTCTGGAAATAATGTTGGTGTCGTCCACTGTTGGCATGTAAGCCGTGAAGTGCACGTCCGTGGTGAACTGCTTACCCTGAGCCTTGTGGATATTTGAGAAGTTAACGATGATAATGGTGGGGGAATAAACCCAGTAAAGGTTGGAACTAGAAGACAAACTAGAGAGCCTCCAGGTTAGTGGTCCCAAAAACACTGCACCAATCACCCGGGCAGCTAGTGGAAAGTGCAGATCCCACTTTGCATACGGACTGCATATGAGGCACCATTACAGTATCACAATAAAGTCCTGATAATGACATTAGAGTTATGTATGAGAACCTCTTTGTTCTTGGCAGATACATGCTGAAGTGTTTTGGGTCAAAATAACACTGTCTGCAGATATTTTCAAAATAAGTCAGTAGTGTGGTGTGTGTGTGTGTGTGTGTGTGTGTGTGTGTGTCACAGTGAGACAGTAAATGTGGTAAATACTAAGGGCTGGTGAATCCAGGTGGAATCTGCATGGGTTTTCATTGTACTCTTCTTCCAACTTTTCTGCAGCTTTGAACTTTTTCGGGGGGGGGGGGGGGGATCCAAAGGAAGGGAGGAGGTATTTTAAAATGCAGATTCCCAGATCCCATTTCCAGATATTCTGGCTCAGTGAGTCTCTTTTCAACTTCCCTTCGTTCTGTTGCACAACGTTGGGTACCACCGGTCTCATTTAACTCTAGGCTTTCCTCCCTACCTACTTCACAGAAGATAAACACTGAGGATCCTAGAGGTCGACTGGTTTGAGGTCCGCCAGTGGATTAGCAGGAACATCAGGCCTGGAGTGAGGATCCCTAGCTCACCCTGAAACACTCAGTGAAACATGTGGGCTCTGTCCCGTGTGTGTGTGTGTGTGTGTGTGTGTGTGTGGTGAGAGACTGACTTGGCCCTCTAGAGCCTGTCACTTTTTAACACCAGTGGTGATTATTCTTGGGGTTTTCTCACGTCTGTTTAAGAAAAAAATCTGAAAATGTCCACTTTGATGGCCGCCAATAGTTTCCTGAAACAAACAAGGTCCACATAGAACCGTTGGCGTCCCGTCGTCATGGAGACAGGCCATTCCATTCTTCCCTAAGGGGTGGTCTTGACTTTCTCTCCTTCCCGGATCCGCAGCACGGCTCCCAGAAGATGCTCCGAGGAACCAGAGGGACCTATAAGGGCCGTTAGGTCTCCTTGAAACGAGGGGGCTTCCGAGGGAGGTGCACCCGGCTCCGGAGGGAGCCCGGAGTCTGGGGCCCACACCGCGGTCCAAGTGGTGGGGTCCAAGTGGTGGGCTCCCGGAAGCTCCGCTCGGGGCCCCAAGCTGGGGAAGCGCACCGGATCCAGCCCCGGGTCGACTCCCCGCGACCCCCAGGATGCCAGAGGCCAAGAGCTCCCGCCAGGACCCCCTGCGATGGACGAAGAAGCCGGTGCGCCGCTCGGTCAGCCAGATCTGCCCGCCCCCGCGGCGGCCCCTGACCGTGGCCGACATCCGGCCGGGCATGGAGAACGAGAGGCTGGGGGTCGTGCGGGATTCCATGTTTCAGAACCCGCTCATCGTCAAGGTGAGAGCCTCGCTGAGCGCCCATTCGTCCGGGGGTGCCCGCGTCCAGCCCTGGCCCCACGGCCCGGGTCCCAGCGCAGCGCCGGGAGCTCCCGCTCTGGTCCAGGCAGACCCGGACCCCCATGCGGTCACAGGGGGCATCGTCTCTGGCCTCAGCTTTCTCATCCGCAAAGTGGGGTGATAAGGGCGCTCATTAAGGGGAGCGATTGGGAAGACTGAACAGGGTGAGCCCCGCGGGACCCTGGCACAGCCCCCTCCACGCGGTGAGCCCGCAATGCTGGCTGCTGCTATTTACAGGGATCCTGCCGGGGAGCCCACGGGCGACAGGTCTCAGGCACCCAGACAATGACCTTACCCAGCACCCGCCACCCCTCCTGCCCCTGCTCACCGGCTGCTGCCGCGCAGTGAGCGCTCGTGCCTCCCCTGGAAGCATCGCTTCTCACGGTAACTTCACTCCATCGAACTCTGATCAGAGGTGCGACACCAAGAAACAGCGCGATCTGGGCCCTGGGAGGCCCGACCGCCAGGAGGGAGGGACCCGGTTTCTAACTAGATCGCCGCCCCTTGCACTGCACCTCCCCTTGTTTATTCTCGTTTCCGGGCTGGTGATCAACCAACACCCCACGCTTTCCCAGGGCCCCAGGCAAAGTCAAATTGAGGTTTGGCTGTGGGAAGCGGTCAGTAGCAGATTTACCTGGCGCCGCTGGAGGGCAGTGTGCCCTTAAAAACGCGCGGTTCCCAGCTGTGGGCGGTGAAAGGCGCCCTGGTAACCATGGATTCAGTAACGATTAGTTATCTGAGCTCCAGGCCTGCTTGGAGCCTAGACTAGAGGCTTTTGTTGGTGGTCTTGGTTGGGGGTCCAGGGAGCCTGGGGTTTCTAAACATCGCGCCGGAACTCGCTGAGTTACTTGGTTCGTCTGAAGGGTGGACTCTCCTCTTGCCTCCCCTCGCCGTGTGCCTGGCTCCCCACCCCGGGAAGCAGCTGGTCACGCTGGGAACCTTCCCTCACCCACCAAAGTAGGACAAGGCCCTTCACTTATTTCTAGGTGACAGAACCACTCTGAGCGGGCAGATGGGCCAGACAGATGGGGTTCCTCATTCTGGGATCAAGGGGAGAACCAAGCCCCCCAACTCTGATCAGCCACTTCAGTGTTAGGTCATCGCTTTTGCCCGGGCAGTCACTCTGGGGTTTTCTTACCTGCATATGAACCGGCGTTTTGGAGTTACTGTTCTCCATGGTGAGTCAGTCATGTGTGATGCCATATACACACATCTATATATATAAAAGCCTAAGCAACCATTAAGACCAGTCGACCAAACGACCGGTCGACAGGTCGCTGTAACATGCACTAACCACCAGAGGGCAGCTCCTGCCCTCTGGTGGTCAGTGCACTCCCACAGCCAACCTCTCGTGGTTCCTCTACCCTCCTCGCCCCCCCCCCCCCCCTGCAGGCCGGCAGATCAGCCCTGATCGGGACTGGGCAAGATGGCCCCAATTGGCCCCAATCGCCAGCCAGGCCGAGGGACCCAACCTGTGCACGAATTCGTGCACCAGGCCTCTAGTATATACATACACACATTAGACATATACATACATTATGTACACATCTACACATACATGTGTATATATAGAGACTACATACATAATATAATACGGGGGTGGGCAAAACTAGGTTTATAGCTGCTCCTATAGAAAATAACACACTAATTAATAAATAACACAAGGATAAACTCTGTTTCATGTACTCACAACTGTAAACCTATTTCTGCACACCCTGCATACGTATGTAAATCAAATATCCTTCCTTTTCTCCTTGTGCTGGCCTCACTCCACTTTGAGGACAGCGTTTGGCCTCTGGGTGGCACTAGCTGCCTGGCTTCCAGGACAGATTCCACCTCGCTCTGTGCACCTGCGTTTAGGTTGGGGATTGCAGATGTCTGACTGACGGCCAGGGGCTTGTCTTCAGGGCGTGAGATGCAGCACAGGACTGCCCTGGTGGGTGGTGGCTGCGTCCCTGTGACAGGGGTGGGGGTGGGGGTGGGTGCAGACTGTGTGCCCTCTCACTGCGCCCGACTCCTCCCCAGCCAGGGCGGCTGGAGCCAGCGGGCCTTCCCTTCTCCTTCCTCCCCCAGTTCCTGATGGGCTGTGGGTACTTCCTGCCGCAGTTGTGATGATGTCCACACTCCAGTGCTAACCTCGCCTCCGGACTCTCCACCCAAGCCAGGCCCACGTAAGCTGGGAGGCCTGAGGGGGAGAGGACCCCTGGCTGCGACCTTTGCAGCCCCTCTTGCAGGTGGCACCGCGGCCACTGCGGCGACTCAGCCCCGGTGCTGGCAGCACGGAGCCTGCGGTAGAAGCCGCGTTCCGGCTCCCGGCTCAGCATGATCACCACTCCAAACAGCTTCCTATATACAAATTTAAATTACAAACAAACTTTGGGGTTTTGACTTTCAAGAAAAGAAGAAGATTGAAAGTACTCAGGATTGTGGAGCCCGGCTGGTGGCCCCTCATGGTGACACGCAGGGTGTGAGCGTATTTTGGTTCTGAGTCTGAACCTGAAGGCCGCGTCTGTATGGAAGGATACAGCCCTGAGGTTCGGCACTCACGCCGCCCTCCGGGGCTGTTGCCCGGGCTGTGTTCTCCGGCGAACAGGATCGGGCTTGCTTTCATTTCACACGCACGCCACCTGATCAAACCAGCGCTGCTGTTTCACAGGCTCGGAGTTTACCAGGACGATGCACATCAGTCTGTCAAGAGCAGGCCTGCAGGCCCTGGCCGGTTTGGCCCAGTGGATAGAGCGTGGGCCTGCGGGTTTGATTCCGGTCAAGGGCACGTACCTCAGTTGCAGCCCCCCTCCCTGGCCCGGGCCCTGGTCAGGGCGCATGCAGGAGGCAGCCAATCAATGTGTCTCTCTCACATCAATATTTCTCTCTGTCTTTCCGTCTCTTTTCCACTCTCTCTAAAAATCAATGGGAAAATATTCTCAGGTGAGGGTTAAAAAAAGAAAGAAAAAGAACGGGCCTGCAAGATGCCCAGTAACCAGGCGAAAAGGGAGAACCTCAGACGCCCACACCCGCATTGCATCTCCAAGTGCTCGACAAGGCTCTGCCTCGTTTAAAACCAAGCCAGCCAGGTTATTAGCAGAACTGGCTTATCCAAGCGGGTGTTTCATGTGGTCCCCAAAACACGGAAATATTTCCCGTCAGAAAGAGCTTCTGCCCTGTTGTCTAAAGTGGTGTGCTTGCTGTTAGCCAGTTCTCCTGCCCCGGCGACTCTCCGGGCGTGCCTCTCCCCTCCCCAGAGTTCTGCACCTCACCACCCGCGCCGCAGTCGCCTTCCATCGTGCAGGGCCTGTCAGTGCACACGTGCCCCGCAGCTCAGCGATGCCTGTCACTCCAGTTCCGGGAGAGACGGCTTGCTTTGCTCCCTGACAGCCTGGAATCTTCTGTCGCCCCGGAGAGGCAGCCGTGTACAGGGGAATTGATTGCATCGAGCCCCCTTAGACAGTGCAAATGATCACGGCACCCGGTTTTCCCCATAACTTATTGATGATTTTGTTTTCTGTGGGGGTTTGTGTCACAAATAGGAAGTGCGTGCCCTTGTAAAATAGAGTCATCTAGCCATGTTGGAGGGCTGGCAGACAGCTAGTCGATTCCTCTTTTTGAGGAGAGGAAGGCCTGGGAAGGGGAAGAGACTCGTCCCGGGCGCCACGCTGACCGGTCACAGGTGGGATGAGATTCTGGCCCCAGACTCCCGGCCGCATGCTTTTCTGCCCACGACACACTAATGAATTCGTGGCAACCCAGACTGGGCACACAGTACAGCAGACGGTCAAATGTTGACCAGTGAATCCGATTCCCACATCGTTTCACTCAGCGCGCCTTCCAAAATGACTTCTACTCGTTTCTCAGGGTCTGTTGGCAGCTAAGAAATATTTATTGAGTGTTTACTAAGCGCCCAGCACCTTCCCAGGCTTCCGTGGGGGCATAGAACCAAGTTCAGCACTCAGCTCCTGCCCACAAGGAGTTAACTGTTTAGCTGGAGAGGTGGAGTATGTGCCATGTATATTGCATGCACATATATAGTGCATATATATGCGCCTTAAAGAAAGCTCGCAGCAATGTTAGCTCTTATTCCTGTGTGCGCCGTGCGTGCATGCACGTGTGTACACACACACACACACACTAACAGCAATGTCATGGGCACCCCCTGCAAGTTTCAAACTAGCTGCCTGAGCCAGAGGGTTGAGATTGGAGGGGAGGACGCCCTGAGCAGGTCTCGGAGGCTTTGTGAAGACACAGGCCTGGCTGGGACGTTGCAGGGTGCAGATCACGGTGGACTGGAAACACTGAGCCCCTGGGGTGCACCTTCTGCAGATCCCGAGTGTCCAGAGGCTTCACCCCAACTCTAGTTGGCTTACGAGACTCCGTGCGCCGCTGGGACCGTGACCGTGACCGTGACCGTGACCGCCATCGCCCCGAGGAAGCGCTTCTTGAGAGCCAGTGGGCTCGAACTGGATGCGCTACCAAATTAGGAGCCTCGCCAGGCCCAGGACCCCTGGTCTGGAGTAAATGTCGATGCTGGTGAACATAAACGCGTAGAGCCCCACGCAAAGGAGGCCGCAGCAAACGCAGTTGTACAAATAGCCCGGCGAGGGTCAGGGTTTTATTATGTTGCAGTAAAATGTGAACATGTCACGCTCAGCTTCATCCCTTGAAGAGAAGATAGGGTCGGTTGCCTGGCTCTTTTACACTCAGTTACAATGTAATAGGAGAAAATGAACGGGGGGAAGGGGGGTTAAAAGTGGGCTGTCCATCCTGATGGCCCCGCCTGGCTGGCCGGCCAGCGGGTAGGTCTTGTTTTTTAGGGAAAGCGTGGGTTCATCTATCCTTGCAGCTCTCCCTCTCGGTCCTGGCTTTCTGTTGGAATCAAAGCCTCCCCCTTCCGGTCGCAGCCACATCCTCCGGGAGCGACGGGGGCTGGGCAGCCTGGGCCATTGC